GGGGAGTGAAGACGAGAGCAAGATATGCCCCGTCATATTTTCTGCATTTAGCTTTTAAATGACCAGCACCTGCCTGGGTCTGTGCGACTTCATCTATGGCTTTCCTCTTCCCTTTCACAAACTGATCCATCTCCCATTCTAAGTTACGTCCTTTGGCTGTTTACTGTTTTATTTCTTTTCTGTACTGCGAGAGCTATAAGAGAGTGCGGACGTCTCCTTATGCTTTCTCTCGCTGTACTTTGATGTCATACACCTCTTTACTCTCGCGTATCACGTGACCGAGTGTAATCGCAGCCTCTGCGATTTAAAAATCACGTTTTTTCATATCGCGATATTATCGCAAATACAATTAATCGTTCAGCCCTAGTATTTACATATAATAGATCAGCCAGTGTAATTAACATAACTGTTTGTCTGTCCTTAGCTGGTGGCGGTGTATGAGGAGCAGGACCCCCATCATGGCGGTGACGGCACCAGCGCGAGCTCCACAGGCACCCAGAGTCCAGAGCTCTTCAGCACGGGTGAGCTCAACTCCAGCAACCTGTCGGCCTTCCAGCCCTACCAGACCAGCAGTGAGATCGAGGTCACCCCATCGACCCTCAGGACCAGTGAGTGACCATCTCATTCAAACTCTAACACTGTGTCCTAACCAGACGCAACCTGACAAGTCTCCATCAGCAAATACCCAGAAAATGATAAGGATAAAGGATTGTTGGTTTAATTTGATTTCATTGTATTCTGACTTTAGTTTTTTTTAGGTTGATTATTCTGATTCTGTTGATTCTGATTTTTACAGTACTTATTCTGATTTGATTTAAATCTACTAATTCTCATTGTTCTGAAACTTTCTGATTTGATTCTTCTGATCGTCAGTCTGCTGATTTTGATTCTGATTTTGAATCTACTGATTTTGATTCGATTCTGATGATCGTCAGTCTTCTGATTTTGAATCTACTAATTATCGATCTGAATCAGAATCTTCTAATTTTTTGATCTAGTTTTCAGTCTGCTGATTTTGATTTCTGATTTTGAATCTTCTGTTCCTGATTGTTCTGAATCTTCTGATTTTGATTATGATTTCAAAATTACTGATTCTGATTTCTTTGCTCATATTGTCAGTCTGCTGATTTTGATACTGTATTTGAATCTACTAATTCAGATTGATCTGAATCTTCTGATTTTGATTTTGAAAGTACTGATTCTTATTTAATTGTTCTGATTGTCAGTCTGCTGATTTTGATACTGATATGAATCTACTGATTATCATTGTTCTGAATCTGAATCTTCTGATTTTTAAAGTACTAATTCTTATTTGATCCTTCTAATTGTCAGTGTACTGATATTGTTTCTGATTTTGAATCGACTGATTATCACTGTTCTGAATCTGAATCTTCTGATTTTGAGAGTACTAATTCTTATTTTATCCTTCTAATTATCAGTCTGCGGATTTTGTTTCTGTTTTTGAATCAACTGATCCTCATTGTTCTGATTCTGAATCTGAATCTTCGCATTTTTAAAGTACTACTTCTTATTTAATCCTTTCATCAGTATACTGATTTTTTTTCTGATTTGGTTCTTCTGATTGTCAGTCTACTCTGTGGATTTTGTTACTGATTCTGATTGTTCTGAATCTGAATCTTCGGATTTTGAAAGTACTGATTCAAATTTGAGTTAAGACACATTTAGGCTGTTTTCACACTTGGTTTCATTGCTTGCTGTGAACCACCGTCAGTAGTAAAAGTTGTGCAAAACTTGCCTTGTCATAAATCTGCTTGTTTCTTTTGAAACTATAGTTCAGTCAGCGGCCTGCTCTCTGAGGAGAGGTGGTGTGTGGGTTCGTAGAGCACAGTGTGCGCTCTGTTAAAGTTGTGTTTGACACTGGACGTATGGGGACTGACCTTGACAGGAAGGCGGGGTTGAGCGGGCAGGTGAAATCATCTAGGGAACCGCCGCTAGAGAAGTGCGAGACACACTCAGTCAGGTGTGGAGAGAAGAGGATACAGCTCTGATTAACTGTGACAGCTCAGATTCAGCCTGATCCACACACACTCAAGAGTTCACATCATACAGTCTCATTTGAATATATATTAGTTAATTCGGATTTTGTGATTGAATATAGAATAAAACTTTAGATAATGTGGATGTATTTCTAATTTTGTGATGTGGTGTGCATAAAAACATGATGTTAGTGGAAGAGGATCAATTGTGAACTGAACCATGTGTCTGCTCTCCAAGAAAACAACTTCTGTTTCTGTCCTGGTCTCTTTCCAGAGCACACACACATTAGTTGTACTTCAGGTGAATGTGTTCCCATGTTACCAGGCTCTTCTGTTGTCTATTTGAACCACTGATTTTATTTATTGTTGTGTCTCAGAGGGAGGTCTGGAGTCGAGTCGAGTCGAGTGTGTGAATTCCCCAGCATCATGCGAACGCTGCTGGCAGGAATTTAATTATTTTATATTTGTGTGTGTGTGTGTGTGTGTGTTGAGGGGTTTTGTACAACATTACTCCAAAATACACACTGCAAATGTTCTTCTGATGTTTACTCAGCGCATTTTTTATTTTGGTCGCGCATGCAATATTTGATCATATTGCTGTTGCCGTATATAATGATAACACACTATTAAATGATGTTTTTATTACAATATAAATCTATGTATAACAATATAAAATCATTACAAAAAATATTTCTCGAAACATTACAACATATTCAACAAAAGGGTCAAAGACGAAGTTTTCGATCATTAGAATGTGTCCAGTTTAAGTTTTTTTTTTTTGACCAAAAATAATGATTTATCATACATTTTTACCATGATGTCATTCAGTGTAACAGTAGTTCATACACCAAATATATCTTGTCAGACAAATAATTAAAAGACTATAAGGATTATAGTGCGACCCACAAAATACTAATTCATTGTCATTTTAAATCTTTACCAGTCTTTGCCACTGTCCTTCAAACCGCTAGCTTTTACACATTCGTCAGCAAGAAGAATCACTTTAATAGAATAAAATATATATGAAATATATTTGTTACGCTGAATGATGATGGAACATTATTTCACCCATATTTTGACTTTTTTTTCTCAAAAGTAATTTGAAAATTTAAAGTAGACACTTTACTTGCATTTAATGTTTTCTATGTGTATATGATGTCTTGTCTTTGACCCATATATAAGTTCACTTTTTAGTTGATACTGACAAAAACAAAACCCACTTGCTGTGTTCCAAAACATATTGAGCTGCCAACCAAAACAGCATTTGAATGCACTCCAAACACCAAGGCTGCTCCAAACTCATGAATAATGCACCTCAGTCTGATCAGATTCAGTATGTATCCTTCAGTCCCAGAATGCACTGCAACAAACAATAAATTAATTGTATTTCATTCAGTAGATAAAGTGTCATTGAGGTTTTAGCTAATTAAAAAGGACTTTTTCACCCAATATTTGGTCTGAAAATGGTCTTATTGGAATATTGTGCAATTGGGATGAATTGAAAGTGTGAGGAGTATATGCTTTCTCAAGTAACTTCTTATGATGGGTGCTAGCTTAAAATGTAGCTGCCTATCTAGACAGTAGACAGCAGGACAATAGGTTTTGGAATATTACTAATCTTTGTATTCTATTTTTTGGTCCACATCAAGGTTCAAGCTTAAAATTTATGTGAAATTATAGTGTAATAAAACACTTCAATTTTTTAAACCTTCATTACTTCATTTTACATTTACATTATAATTTAATAAATTGCATTTGCATTGTATTGTTATTTATTTATTTATTTTAATTTTACATTGTAATTTGTATTTTATATTTAGAGAATTTTACACCACAGGACATATCAGCTTCCCATTTATGATGCCAAGAGAATATGACATTTTCTGTTTCCAAATCTCCTCTGAATCACAGTTTGCCCTCAGCGACCAGCTTGATTATGGATAACCAGCTCTCTTCATCAGTCTTTCTCACTGTCTTATATTGATGATTGATAAAAAGTGAGAGCCGTTCTTGATGACTTCCCAAAAAAAACAAAAACCTCTAGAAATCCTGCCGGGACCCCAGGAGAAGGAAGATGAGCATATTGCTCCAGCAATAACAGAAAATCACAGCTGCGGCAGCGGCGCGACGGTCCTTGAGTTCGGCTGCCGAAGCATATAATCACAGACATTTCCGAATTTGCATTGATTGTTCTTCTTTGAAGTAAGAAAGGGAGGAACGAAAACTCTTCCCCTACGTTTGATTATTTAAAAAAAAAAAATCTTTCAGCAGAGGTCAGGGCAACTAATAATTGGATTGGTGATGAGATGTAAATTATGGTAATGAATGTAATTTGCTTGTAATTATACAGAATCAGGCGTCCGTCAAACTTGCCTGACACCAAAGCGTAATCTTGCGAAAAGTCGAGAGAAAGAAAGAAATCTTTAAAGCTTTACGACACCGTCGGCTGGTGTTGAATTTTAATGATGGCGTGCCTCCATTGGTCTGTCTGATTTATTTTCAGTGCGTTCTGCAGTGCAGTCGGAGCGCTGGCTGATATTTATAAAGTGTTTGTAGTGTGTAGGGAGATGTGGAGCGTGTGTGGAGCGGGGGACGTCCCCAGTGGGCTCAGAGAGGCAAGCACTCATTAGCAGGGGAGTGTGCTGCGTTCAGGTGCTCTACCCTGGGGCTCACCGGCTGACACGTGGCCTCTCTCCATCGCATGTCCTGGATCTCTTTAGCTTAGCTTCAGTAACTCTCCCCGGCAGCCCCTGTATCTTTCTCACCTGCGCCTTCACTCTCCCTCATTCCCGAGCCTCCTTCTCTGCTCTCGCTCAGCACATCCCATCATGCACTTGGGCAGACCGCTTTTTTAGTTGTTTGTTGCTTATGTAATCATCTCATGCAACTACATGCTGAAAGGGAAGGTTCACAGAGAAATTACAATTTTGTCTTTAATGCATTGCGGTCATGCGATGGCGCCGCAGACGGCAGCCTCAGTGTTTGTGGTTTATATTTATGAATGTGTATTTTATTCACATCTCATTTTTATTATCTCTGTGTTGTTGTTGTCTCCGTGTACTGGAAGCTTGTGACACTATAACAAATTCCTTGTATGTGCAAACATACTTGGCAATAAAGCTCTTTCTGATTCTGATTCTGATTCTGATGATGTTATTTATTATGGGAAGTCAAAATAATTGGTGGGCAAAATGTTCATATTGCTGAATTGCAAACACTGAAAATGAATAGGGATATTTGTTGATATCACTCCAAACATTACAAATAAGCAAATATACATAATGTATTATAAAAGTAGTGCACAGGGTAAAAAAGAAGCCATATGATAACTTTCTGTGAGGACTGAAAATCTCCACTATTGCTCTCAAATATCATTTGCATCTGTGTGCAATACACTACCATTTTTTTGGTTGGTAAGATTTTTTAATGTTTTTGATAGAAGTCTCTTATGCACCATTCGTACGTTTGTTCGTTTGAGTGTTTATTTATTTATGTATTTATTATAAATACAGTAAAATAGTAATACTATATTATTGCAATTTTAGTGTTTTATATAAATATTGCTACAATTAGTGTATTTTAAATTGTAATTTATTCCTGTGCTGAATTTT